GTATCTCCTGAGACCGGGAAAGACTGGGAAGAAATTCCAGCTGTTGTCTGCAGGAATTAGGGAGGGCTGATCACAAGGGTGTGCACTGCATAGTGGGAGCGGGGAGAAGGTGGGAAATGAGGCAGGGTTTCCCAATCTGGAGACCTTCTTCAGCCATAGCCTCACTAGCCGACACCTCGGACAATTATACTTAGCTCATTTTCGGAGTGTTTTCATCACACGTTCTTTCATTTAAGCTTGTAAACTTAGGAGGTATATAGGGAAGGTATTGATAGTTACACTTTTGCACCTGAGGAAGCAGAATGACTGATAACTGATTGTCATAAAACCAGCACAAATTAAAAAAACATCAACAAAATCCTTATACCTGAGGGTTGTGTGAGAAAGGTGGTGGTGGGGGTGGAGGAGGAGGTGGAGGTGAAGGAGAAGTACTGGGACCTAGTAGAATCTGATTCAGATAGAGTGTGTAGAAACCTAGCTAAGACAAGCTGGGCTAGGGAGGAAGAGCCCTTAAATAATGGTAGAGTAGTCTAAATTAATGATTGTTACCTTATGTACCAAGGTGCTTTGGTCGTGTAGTGGATTACATGTTGGTTACTAGCTGCAAGGTGAACGGTTCAAAACCACCAGCAGCTCTGCGGGTGAAAGATGAGGCTTTTTACTGCCATAAAAATGTACAGTCTGGAAAACTCATAGAGGCGATTTTGTTCTGTCCTATGTCTGTCTATATTGTCACTATGAGTCAGAATCCACACAATAGCAGTGAAAGACACCCTGTGTACCGACGGTTCTCTGACACATGGAATTGCTGTGAGTGGAAGTCCACTCTGTGGTAATTGCAGCTTTTTAAAAAAATCTTTACCCAGAACTCCATTTGACAGCCCTAGTAATTCCCTTATATCACAGGTAGAGGAGTTAAATAATTTGCTCAAATTCTTACAGCTCACTCACTGCCATCAAGTTGTGACCCTATGGAACAGGGTAAACCTGCCCTTGCAGTTTCTAAGACCATAACTCTTTAAGGGAGTAGAAAGCTCGACTTCCTCTGAGAGAGGGGCTGGTGCTTTGGAACTATTGACCCAATGCCTAAGCTCTTAACTAATTCTTTGTCATTCACCATGGAGAATCAGTGGTTCTCAACCAGTGGTCATAACCCCTTTGGGGGCTGAATGACCCTTTCACAGGGGTCGCCCGATTCATAACAGTAGCAAAATTACAGTGATGAAGTAGCAAGGAAAATAATTTTAGGGTTGGGGGGTCACCACAACATGAGGAACTGTATTAAAGGTTCGCAGCATTAGGGAGGTTGAGCACTGCTGGTCTAAATTGTAACTGAGATAAAATGGATGAAAAGATAGGGGTGAGGAGTAGAGATTTCCATTATAAAGGAGTGGATCAACATTATTACTTCCTTTACCAAGTGAAGGGAAACCGATCAACCTGATCTCAACCAATCACTAAACTAGAGCTAAACTCACAGTTATTAAGTCAATGCTGACTCACAGAGACCCCCATGAGGGCTTCCGAGACTAACAGTTTAGGAGAGTAGAAAGCCCTGCCTTTCTCCCTCACGGAGCTGCTGGTGTTTTCAACCTGAACTGTGGACCATGTGGACCACAGCCCAGAGTGTAATCATTCACCACCATGGCTCCTTCAACTACCTACACTCTCCCCAAAACAGTGCCAGCACTGAGCAACCCATTTAGCCCAGCCTCCATCAGAATTTTTAAGAGGCGAGGCG